TTCCTGCTGTTGTTCATTTCTACTTGAAAGGTTTGAAAAGATTTTCCCTACCTCCTGAGCGGACACTGGGACTATAGTTGCCTTGTTGGCACTGCCACTTGAGCGGGCATGACAAGAGTTCTGTGGGGACATTTTCCAGATTATGTAAGAAATAGTAGTTTTATACTTCTTTGTGTTGGTATAGGATGAGGGTTCAGTTCTGAGAGTTTTTCTCCATTTAGACATTCAGATTTTAATCAATTCCTTTCTATCACATTTCTTTCGCTTCTTAGCTACAACAACAAAAAGCTTTTTATACATTTCCAGGAATGGTATTTATCATTTACGGGTATTTAAGGGTATTTTTGCAGTTCTGATTATGAATGTTTACTTTATTCACACATCAAGCAAACTATCCTTACACCATACGGTCAGGAGGTATACTGTTTTGTACATTCAGATGTCTGAAAGCTGTCTGGAAATGTATTTCCTACTTTCTGATATGGGAATGTTTCAATAGGAGGGGGTTTAATTTCTTTTGAAATTTCAACTCTTGTTCTGCTCAGAAGCTAAAGTTGGAATCCATTAAGATGCATTTTAGTGCAGTTTCTATTCTCATCTTCCTTTTCTCAGTAACTGTGCAATTCACTTAGTACTTCATTACAACCAACAGCAATATGTATACATGGTGCACAAAATGAGCCATTTTGTTTTAAAACAGATTGCAGATGAAAGGAAACCATTCATTTCTTGCTTGCTAGCTGTAATTACTAGAGCGCTAATTACTCCAAATCACTGACATCCAGGGTCAATAAGGATGACAACAGGAACATCAAAGACAAGATGCACACGCGCAATTACAAGTCTCTAAAACCAAGATGTAATATTATTTTATAGCTACTGTTTTTTTCAGTTAATGCTGAAAAATATTCAAGTTTGCTGAACGTTTACTATTATTTCCTTTGCAGTTTGACGGTGAGAACATGTATATGAGTATGACAGAGCCGAGCCAGGACTATGTGCCAGCCAGCCAGGTGGGTTAATTAATCTTCTCTGCCTTGTTTCAAATTGTAATTAAACAAATTCAAAGAGTTGCATTGCAAATGAGTGGCACTATCAGTAACTGCTGCAATCAGGAATAATCATAATTTATAAACAAAGCATTTAAGCCTTGTTTCCAGTTAATGAGATAGAGCTGATAAAACACCAGAGTTGGCGTTTGTTGAAAGATACTACCTTGTTTCCTCTCCAGAATGCAAGCAGCTGTTTTGCCAGCATGATCTTTCCTAAACAGTTGTTTTACCTTCAGGAAATAAAGTCTTTACAGGTGCAGGTTATTTGTTTATCTGACTGCAGACAAGTTAATCATTATAAGCTACACATGTCACAAATAGCTTTAATTATCACTCATAGGCCAGTTGTAGTTGAAGAATTGCATTTTTAACACTAATCTTATGGCTGAGGAATGTTGCCAATGTTAGACGATCAGCAGTGGGGTTAAGGCAATGACTTGGTCTTCTGTAGCTTGCAGCCCAAAAGGTTTAATGTAATGGGGATTCTTTACAAGTATTTTTGAGTCCTTTCCCTTTTGGGGAACCCTACATACTAAATTGTGATATTAGGTGTATATTTAAAAATCTCTCACCTGTCCACTTGAACCATAAGATACTATAGATTTCTAAGAATGAAAGATTTTAATTACTTCTTAAAAAGCAAAAATAGTTCTGAAGTGTTTAGTTTGTCTACCTGTAGCTACATATATATGTAGAGGAGAAATTTTCATTTACTTCACATGTTTCAGCCAGTTTAATTCCACATTAGTAAGTCATGATGATAGTGGTGAAGGTCAGTTAGACTGTGTCAGAAATTTCCCTGAATAATCAGACTTGTGGTCTAGGTCATGCAATATCTCAAGCCCAGCAGTGCCTAGTCTGCTATACCTCTTTCTGACAGGACCAGTAAGATTATATGAAGAGCTCTCATTAGGTGGGAAATAAGTTTGCATGCAGAGTAAATGTGTGTAGATGAGCAGGATACCATTTAGGAATCAAAAGCTTTGGAAAGTGACAGTACCTTCAAAGCTGAATGTCCTCATGAAGTAGGGTTTTTCAGATAGCCATGTTGGTCTGACTATCATGATATGTAGTACACAGGTTCATTTGGGGGCAGGGAAGCAGGAGGTTATATGAGATGAGCTACATTGTTCAATCAAAAAGACGGTCTTTAAAATGTTCCGCCATGTTGCTTCCCAGCTTTCTGTTGAAGTTATTCTGAAATACCTTTAGAGACCAACTGTACTTTGTGTTTAGGATTTGTGCGTGATTGAACTTATTCAGCTAAGAACCCTCCAAGATCCAGAGGTAGTTTAGAATAGAACTGTTTGATTAAAAAATGAAAAATTGTATTATTAATTTTTCTCTAACCATTAATCCAAAAACTGTACTGACAAGTTTTAGTATTACTATTAGATTAAAGCAGCCTAGTATCATCTCATTTATGCCTTAAGGGTTTTGAAGTGCAAGGGCTAATTGAATTTGTTTGAAACAGTAGAAATACAAACTCTGTGAATGATTGCTGTTATAAGGCAGCTGCTACCTTTCAGAGAATCATTATGTCTGTCTTAAATAGTTTTGAATAAAGAATTGCAAATCCACATTATACATCAGAATTATTTTTCTTCTGTTGATATTTTTGTACTGTGTGTGCATGTAGCTTAAATAATTTAAATGGCATATTGAAAAATTAAGAGTATAAGTTTTAATCTTTTATGCAGTTTCTACATGTGCTAACAAGACCCAGATCCTCAGAGATATTTATGCGTCTAACTCACTGGTTTCAGTGGAAGTAAGGTGCTTGAAGTACCTTTAAAGATCCAGGCCTAGATATTTTAAGTGCAAATGATTTTGTCTTCAAGGAGAAAATCTGTCAAATGTGACATTTCCAAATTCAAAGATGACAGAAAATCCTGAATGCTTACTAAAGGCTGGAACCAAGAAAGGGCTTACAGACTTAAAATCTCGCTATGGCAGAGCTGAGCTCTCGGATGTTTGGCTCCCAGGTGGAGTTCAAAACTCAGAGGCAGGTGTCAAAATTCTGTCCTTTGCCGGGGGGTCTGTGTGGCAAGAGCTAGCTCAACTGCCAGGCACAGTATTTTAAGTTATTACCAAATGCATTCTGGTCAATCAGCCTCCCGTGCCTGTTTGAGAGAAGCCATCAGCCTTGGGCTGTTGCACCCTACTCTCCCTTACTGTGATTATCTCCTGCTGCTTACACCGTTGCAGCATTTTTTAAGTGAATGTAGCTGAAAGCCTGTAATAATAACAATATTTTAAAAAGGAAGCAAAAACCACACTAGGAACAGGAGGCCGGGTGTGTGTTGGAAATCCTGCCTCTCTCTTGTTTAGGTAAGAACTAGGACTGTGAGAGAAGCCTTCCTGAACCTGTTCCTGATGTGGATAGCAGCTAGTCATTCCTCAAAGGAGCTAAGCATCTCTCCATTGACAGTATTGGCGAGGCCTTCACTGACTGTTATGGGGCGCTGTTCCTATCTCAGGCGTAAACACTTGGTGGTCACCCAAAATTGCTGAACTGACTACCATTTGAACAGCCAATCTGCTTGTTAAAACTGGACAGAATACGATATTCACTGATCTGAAAACAAAGCATGCCAGATTATGTGGCTTACTGGGGAGGGAGAGGAAAGGATGTGACTGTATTTTCTGGTCCCTGTTTTCAGGACTGTTTGTTCATTTCCCACTCGCTGTTACCGGGTATAAAACAAATAATCTCATAAGAAGAGATGAGAAAATGTTGTCTCCCAGGTGAAAGCCTAGTCACGTAAAGCACAGAGTTTTCTCCTGTGTCCATTTTGCATCTGTCCTTATGAGCCTTGCTGTTGCATGACTTCAGCGAGAGGAGTGCAGGCTCCCTCCCATCCCCCATAACTTGACTGTTCCTTTGCAAGATCAGGGATGAGGGTTTGAATCCTGTCAGAATGAGGAGTGAATTCATTTCTCCACTTGCCTTGATGGATGCACATCTGTTAACTAAAATATGAATCCCACATGTTAGGAGATACATAGTCCTATCAGAAACTTTTATTCGAGCTCTGATCATGCTGACTGAGTCAGATGCAAGCATCATTTTCTAATTTCAGAGTCTGACACAGCTTATTTGGGAGGTACGTTGGCAGACTGAGTCATGGTATACAAGACCAAAGACCAAGGGCTTTCCACTAGGCTGTCTTTAGGATTATGTGACTCTAGAGGCAGGATTTTTGGGGTCCTGATGCACACTGGCATGCTCACATCCTTGCTTTGAATCTAATCCTGAGAAGTTAGTTTTGCTTGTTTTGCATTTTCCATCTAACTTTTCCTAGAATCCAGCATTTCAAGAAATTTGGGGGCTATAAAATAAACTGTGTTGCAGAAGAAAATAAAATTTCGGCATCAGAAATGTTTCAATTGCCCTGGAAAAGCTGAACTTTGCACTTCAGTTCTTTCTTCAGTAAACATTACTGCAAAGTGTTCATATCCAGAAAAACATCACCTTGTATTATTTTAAGGGTTTTAATCAATTTATCCCCTTTAGGCTAACATAAATAAAAGCTCAGCCATTGGACAGGAAAAATATAGTTTTGTTCCTTTTGCTATATAACATCAAACATCTGCATAGCTTGGTAATCCAAGACAAGTTGCCTCACAGCATCCCTCAACAATTATCATTTCTGTTCAATTTTCAAATCAGTACATGCTTTGGGACTTATAGACTAAGTTGCTAAGTAGCAACATATGGCTCACTACTGTTCCTGTGATGTTGCTGCAAGCAAGTAGCATAATTCTATACTTGAAATGATTTTTACAGAAAGCCAGTGCTGGAACTGAGCCAGAAGTGTAAGTATACAGTAAAAATTAATGATATTCTTTTAGACTGTCCCAAAAGGCTGTTTGGCAATGTTGTCTCTGTGTACATTTTATATATACGTGTAAGTACTGTATTTTTGGTTATGATATATGTAGTACAGGACTCTGCACTGCAGGCATCTCCTAAATGAGTTATGCCAGCCATATTAAGAAACATACCTAGTAAAACTAGATGACATTTTCACTACTAATTGCACTTCAATCTGAAAATATTTATCATTTTAAAATAAAACTATGTCAACTGCTCTGCATTTCAAATTCTCACAAATATATTGTTTTCTCCCCACACCTATAATTGGAATTTCAGAGATGAATTGTTCTTCATGTAATTCCTCCTCCTGTAATTTGTGGGCCACGCACAGCGCAGTATAAAATTATATTGTTTATTTTACATTTCTTCCTAGTCACAATACAGAATGTAATTCAGGACTGTGTTGCACAGAGTATTGCATACTTTCGTAGCCTTCCTGAGGCCTGATAAATGTTAAGGGTAATAAATCCAGCTGCCAAATCCCCTGCACGATCCAAAGGGAAGGGAGAACTGGCCTGGAGCTGATGGTTTGGGGCAGTACCCCCATTGCTCCAGTGGGAAGAAAAGAGATACTCAAGGCAGAGGAAGGAGTACTGCTTGCACAGAGGTGGTATTTTCCTCCCTCCCAGAGCTATGCCAGGGGGATCCGTATAAGATATGTATGTGTGCTCTTTGATACAGTGGGCACCATGAGTGTCAAAACGGTTTTGTCCTGTACAGGTCCAGGGTAAAATGGGATAGAATGACATCCAACAGAGACATTTTTCATGTTAATAGGAAAGTAAAGGTTTCCCCTGTTTTTTGTTTCCGTATGCACATGGTCATAGATATATCCCTAACTTCATATTTCATGTTTATACCCTAATTTCTTAGAGTATTAATGGGATAGCTATTACTCATGTGAAGCAGGGATGGGTAAATGCTACATAATAGCTGCCCTCCCTTGCTCTACAGGTCCTTCCCTGTAGGTAGACCAGAATTTCAGAGTACTGTATCCCATTCCTGCCAGAAGATATGGCTCTTCTCTTGTCATTGTTCTGGAGCCAGAGTCAGCAGAGCAAGGCAGAAGTTAGCTGACCTG